TGTATATAATCCGTTTTGTGTCCATTTCCAATGTGTGACATCAGTCAATTCTCATTTCCCTTTTTGAGTTAAAAGTGGAAATAAGTGTAGAAACTGAGGAATTTCTGCATTTTCTACTGGTTATTCTGCTTCATACTTACAGCCTATCCCAGTGTGTGCAGTTTGGAATGCAGGATTAGCAGTGTCTTAGTATAAAGAAGTGAGCATGGAGTGACTGGAGGAGGCAGGAGATCTGGTTTCATTTTGTTTTGTTTTTCTTACTTAAAACTTTGTGACTGGGCGTGGTGGTTCATACCTGTAATCCCAGCACTTAGGGAGGCTGAGACGGGCAGATCACCTGAGATCAGGAGTTCGAGAGCAGTCTGGCCAACATGGTGAAACCCCATCTCTACTAAAATTACAAAATTAGCTGGGCGTGGTGATGCATGCCTGTAATCCCAGCGACTCAGGAGGCGGAGGTGGGAGAATCGCGTCAACCCATGAGGCAGAGGTTGAAGTGAGCCGATTTCACATCATTGTACTCCAGCCTGGGCAAAAGAGTGAGACTCTGTCTCAAAAAAACAAAACAAAGCAAAACAAAAAAACCCAAAAATCTTTGCTTAGAATTCTCCATACAAGTCTATTCTTGCTTTCTTAAGATGTTGGTTCCTATTGAAATCTAAGGCAGGGACTTGAAATTAGAAGGACTGTGTTGGAGTGCAGTCTTTAGCCATACATCTGGGTTAGCTGCTTGGCCCATTGAGACTGCTTTGAAAAAATTTTAAAAATGCTACTGCTGATTTCCATAAGAATCAACTGAGATACTGGAAACAATGTCAAGGTGAATTATGTTTCTAGTGAGAATTGCTCTTATGAGGAAGCAGGAGGACAAGGACCTGAGGGATGTGTTGGTGTACTTGAGAAACCACTTAGAGCCCAGGGAAGACCTGGGTGCCGAATCCAGGTTTCCTGCGTCTGGAGCTCCTGCATTACTACTTCCTAGTTTATGATCTTGGAAATGCTGACAACTATCCTGTTTGCATGATGGAGCTCATTTGAGAATTTCTCATCTAGTGTAACATCAGGAAAAGATCTGGGTCTTGAATCAAATCGCCTAACTTTTGGTCCAGCATCTCTTTATTCCATCTTTTCCTCCAAAGTCAGATAATACAGTTTGCAGAGTATGAGGTTTGGAGTATGCTAGAAATAACTAAGACATAGCCTCCAAATCATTTTGGATTTTTTGCTTGTCAAATATTTGAACAATTTCAGATGTTCTCTAAGGTAAGATTATTTTTTCTTTAAATGCAAGTTTTCCCTTTAAATGTAAACTTCTGTTAAATATCCTTTAAATTTAAACTGCAGAGTTTATAGAAATTTTTGTGTTTAATAGCCATTGATACATCAGCCAAAATTACAGACAGCATTGCCTTAGTTGACGCCTTCAACTTGCCAAATGCATTTATTTGTGTGTACGTTATACCCCCAATTTAAGGAATAATTCAGAAACAAGGAGCTAGTGTGGGTGCAGTGTGTTTTTATAGCGACTACAAATAGTTTCTTCAGGCTACTCTCATCATTTGTGAAAACACATTTATTGTTTGGTAGAAAGAACAAAACGTTTGCCATAGCAACCATGGCAACCCTGGGTGTCTTCCCTATTAGCTGTAATGCGGGGAGCATCTTCAACAGCAGGAAAGAGTCCTCGGCAATTATCACCCAGATAGCATCTCTCCATTTTAAGAGCTTTGGCTGAAGCTCTTGGGCTCAGAAAATTTTTAACATGATGTGTTGATGAATGCTAACAACAACTATTCCATTTTGGTTAATTTGGGGAAGATTAATAAGTTAAGTTTTTTTTACTGTGGGAAAAAGGGAGATGTGATTTTCTTTAGACAAATTTACAGAAACTTTAATGTTAAATCATTCTCTATTTTTTGTTGTGGTTTGTCTTGGTTTGGTTTAGTTTTGATCAGTCCTTTGTTATTTTATTCTTTGCAAGGCAAAATTTCTTGTCATTCTAGTTCTTTGTTTCCATTCTTCACATAAGTTCTTATCATATGCTAATTAGAGTAGATGAAGGAAAAGCTTTAAAGCATGATGAGGAAGTCTAGTTGTGAACTATTGAGGGTAAAAGAGAAATAGTTAAGGCTTAAGAATTTTCATTTTTAAAATAATGGTGGTCACAGAAACATCAGAAGTCCTGTATTAAACTATCAGCTCCCAAATTGCTGTACATATTCTTTATGCAATAAATCACATATGAGTAATAAAATTCTCAGCTTATAAAAGAATAACATGTTGATAATGGAAGCTATGTTATATGCAAAAATCAGAAAAGTATAAAATCACTCATACATTCACTACAGATAAAATCACCATATACATTTATTTTCTATCATGTTTTAATATTGCTGAGAGAAGACCATTTCAACAACATTTTTTTTTATTTCTTTTTTTTTTTTTTTTTTTTTTTTACTGAGAAAGACTGCAGCCTCATGAACTGGGCAGCAGAAGAATATGTTGAATAGAAATAAAGAATATGTTCAGAATAATTTTGGATTTTTTGAAATGTAAAACCTCCCTCTCTATAAGCCTCTCTGTCAATTTTGAGAAGCTAGAGAAAGGCAGAGGGGAATGGGAATTGTGAATATGTTGAGGAAGACAGAGTTGAATGATAAAAATGTACTCCTGGATCTGGCATCTCAGAATCTCTGCTCAAATACCCACTTCCAGTGATTTTCCTTCTTACTAATTTTCTGCAGTTTTATAACCTGTTTTTTTGTTTTGTTTTGTTTTGTTTTTGTTTTTGTTTTTTCTGTTGAAGGATAATTGCAAATAGCTGGATTTACCCTATGTTTTAATCCTGGGTGCCAAATTTTCTAAACTTGCTGGATTTCAGTTTTCTCAACTTTATGATGGAGATAATGCTATTTACTTAAAAGGATATTGTATATTTATTCAAGTAGCCAAAACTGCAGTGTCAAATAGAGTCCAATGCACATTGACTTAAACACAATAGGTGTTTAGCTCTCATTCATCTACTAGGTGAATGTGTTCAAGTAGGCAAGTGCTTTCCTCCATGTGATGATGCAGGGATCCAGGATCTTTCCATACTGTGATTCTGCCATCATCTAGATCTTGTCGTCGGCTGCATCCATCAGTGGTGGAAGAGGAAAGCAAGTGGAGAAGGAGCACGCTAGCCTGGAAGTGGCAGAAATTATTCCCATTCACATTCTTATTGGAGAGAACTTGACCACATGGCCATAACCATAAAAGTACAGAAAGCTGAAAACTGCCATTAAGCCATGCACTCACTACAATTCTATTACCACAGAAGGAAGACAGAATGGATATTAGTAACTATCTGCCATATCTGCCACTGTATTCATAAAAAACACTGAATAAAACACATTCCACAATAGATGCTGAGCACATTCCCTTCCCCTTCTTTTCTGCATTTGACTCTTCTCAGGAATGGTGAGAAAAAAAAAGGAAAAAAAACAAAACTTTTCTCAAACAAAATCTGCTAAGGGCTAGCTGCTTACTGAAGAAAATCAACCACAATTTGTAAGATGTGCCTTTAAGTCCTCTATTTTTCCATCCTTAAAGACAGAATAGGATTGACTTTATGCCCCCTATCACTTTGTCTGTATTGCAGCCCTGTACTATGAGAGACTCTGCAGGAGGAGCTGGGGCTCTGGAAAGCTCTCAGTTACCAAGGAGATGTCCAAATGACTCCTTCCAAGGTGGCGAGAAAGTAGACTGAAACATCGCTAAAAATGATTTTCAATGACATAGATTGAAAGAAAAAGGTTATTGATTAACTCCTCTAAACGAAAACTTCAATTACCTCTTCCTACTTGATGTCCTGAGTTGCTTCTATGCTATCCCTACCCATGGCATAATACAGTCTGCAGTAGCTCCCACATGGGCTTCAGAAGATTTGTGAAACTTGGGATTAGTATAAGTGAATGTTGTCTTTTTTATTCTATGTGAAATAAAAACAGAAAATTTAGGCTACAAGTCTTCCAACTAAGAGAGAACTAATATTGATCTTCTGCAAACCTCAAGTGTGAGAAATACAAAATTCTCGGGCCAAAACAGTTTTCGTATGTGTGTCACAATGTCCCTGCAGGTTAGGTATACTGAATCACATGAAGATCCAAGAATGTTAGAGACTCTGTCACGCCTCTGAGATTTGGTGTATGTTGCTCCTTTTTCCCTGGCTAATCTCCATTGAACTTGCCATGTTTTTTTTTTTTTTTTTCCCTGGGATTTGGCTGCACTTGCCTCATGCGTCACCTCTACTATGGCTGTCTCTAGAAGGCCTCTCTGATCAGCTCCTGAGGCATTCTGTGCTCTGTGTACCTGCTGTTTACCTCTTGTGATAGTTTCTTTCACATCACTTGATATGTTTTTGTCAGCATCTCTCTCTCTATTCAGCACCCAGCATACTCCTGGTGCTCAACAAACATCTGCCGAATAAATGAATGATACAAAGGCATAGTTGGTGTCCTTTCATCTTTGTATCTGCAGGACAATATCTTGCCCATGATAGGTTCATAGTAAATATTCAGAGACAGAGGAGAGAGAAGAGAATGAAAGAACACTAAAAGAAGGAAGAGAAGGAAGAAAAGAAGGAACGATATATTAGAGAGAGAGAGACCATGTAAGCCTAGTTCATATATATCTGCAATCAAAGGCTGAAGTTGTAAGAAGAGAAATAAATAAAACAAATGTCACTAGGAGTTTGTAAGATAGAAGTCATAATGGCTAAGGAAATAGGGATGGAAGCATGGAAGATACAGTTTTTGAAATGAGAGAGATTTTGATGGAGGTGGAGAATGGAAAGTACCAGGGGGTTAAGTACAGATGCAGGGAAGAGTAGGGCCCATTTAGGGGTAGAGTCATCTTAGTTGAACACTGTTTCATTTCCCTTTGATAGTTGAAAGTTGTAGCTATGTGAGACATTACTACAACTCTCTCTCTCTCTCTCTCTCTCTCTGATCCTGTTCCAGGAACTGGCGGTTGGTCCCCAGCAGATTCCAATGCTCAACAGTGGCTCCAGATGGACCTGGGAAACAGAGTAGAGATTACAGCAGTGGCCACGCAGGGAAGATACGGAAGCTCTGACTGGGTGACGAGTTACAGCCTGATGTTCAGTGACACAGGGCGCAACTGGAAACAGTACAAACAAGAAGACAGCATCTGGGTAGGACACTCTTTTTCCTTCCAATGAATAAAACTGAGATGTGCTCATGGTAACCACAGTATATTTCCATCATTTTCCAATATCCAGATTGTTGGTAGTTTAATACTGTTGAGTGCCCATTAGAAATAATTAGACAATTTGTAAGGCCCATGCCCAGCATGGCTCCAGTTCCTAGGAAAATTGGGAGGTCTGTTGCAAGATAGTTTAGTATGTTCCCCTTTTTGTAGTAAACTGGGGAATTCACTGACTGAGCTTCCCTTTCCTCATCTACAAAAATTAATTAAAAAACAGATAAATGTGCCAACAAAGTATGATTATTAATGTGATTATACTAATTTACTAAGTATTTATTGATGTATTTATTAGTTTATTATATGCCAGGCACTTCACATATTTTGTAACAACACAGCTAGCTCAATTATGTCATTTGATCAACGTTGCCCAATGTGTGACTTGTGACTCGGGAATCTTTAAAGTCTGGTCTGACTTTAAAGCCACTAAGCAGCCTCTATCGTAGATTCACAAATAATTGAAAACTAAAACTACAAAACAAATAGAAAATTTAGAATTATTCGGTCATTGAAAACAATCTTCAGCTTCAGAGTGAAGGACAGTTTGCTACAAGTTACAGAACAGAGCTTCTCTCCCCAATCCCACCCCACATTCTTGATCTTACTGTGTGGGTGAAAGGCTGTCAGCAAATTATTAATGGAGGAAAAGGTGGAGGTGAAGCAGACAGCAAAAGTCACCTGGAGGTAGCTTCAGAACCTCAGGCACTGAATAAAATAAGTTATAAGTTTATATTACTTTTCGTTGAGAAAATAAGTCACCATTTTTTAATCTAAATATGTGTAAAATGTGAAGATTTGGAAATTAATAGCATATTCTTTCCTTTTTAGATTCTCTCCTCTTAAATCAATGCCAGTTTATACTTTACATTAGTGTTGCCTTCACATTCACATTCCCATGTTGGGCGCATCTCACTGATAAAAATGAAACAACTTCTGTGTTATATACTCATTGTTATTTGTTAATTGCCTACCCATCACTTGGGTTTGTAATTGCAAACAGTTATAAATTGAGGATTAAGATTAGTTATGGCACACTGAATCCTGAGAATAGCATTAATGTCATCTTTATTCTGGGTCACTTGTAATGTTAGGTTATAATATTTATAAAGGGCATAAGTTTTCTTCATTTTTAAAAATAGTCTGAACAGTGCGTATACATGGAAACAAAGCAGAGAAAATAGACACCACAGCCTACTTGAAGGGAGAGGTAGGGAGGAGGGTAAGAGTCCAAAATCTATCTAGTTGGTACTGTGTTCAAAACCTGGGTGATGAAATCATTTGTACACTAAGCCCCAGGGACATGCAATTTACCCATGAAGTAAACCTGCCCATGTACCCCTTGAACCTAAAATAAAAGTTGAAAAGAAAAAAAAAATTGTCTTTTGGGGACCATTTCATTTTTTCTCAATTGTGAGGTCCCCGTAAATTACTACAGGTTTTCGTTTTGTTTGACTTTTAGTTTGAGATAAGAAATAAGCACACCTTCTGTTTTGAGGAGCAATTTTAAAGTTTTTATGTTGACTTTAGAGGGACAAATCGATGTGGGATTTTTTTGTTTTCTCTGGTACTTGTCATCGGGACTGGTGGTTTTTAGATTGAGTTGTAGCTTTGAGTTACAGTGCCTAAATTTTTTTTTTTTTTTAATCATGAGTTTCATTTTCTTTAGAACCAAATAACCTACTTTCAGCTTAGCCCTGGGTTGGGATGTATTTCAAGGGATGACAATTCCTCTGTGCTCATGAGCAGTGGGCACAAGGCCTCTTTCACTTCCTTGCCCTTGTCAGTTTACCTGCGTTTCTAAATGATTCCAAGCTCCTCAAAGGCAGGGATCTCTTTGTACGTCCATTTAGCCCCATGCCTAGTATCACTAGACACATGGCAGGAACTTATTTGGGGATGATTATTAAGAGAACTGCAGAATTACTAGGACTCCCTGAATCGAAGGATGGGGGCAGGAGACTTTCTCCATACCCTACTTTGCATCCCAAACAGCCTTGACACGGTAGGGCAGGTAAAAGTTGCTGGATGAGCAGAGAAGGAAAGGCAGGGTCCTCCATGCATAGTGAGGAAGGAAATTCCAGCAACAAACTCCCCAGAGATGCTTGCAGTGAGTGCAGGGCATTGGGAGACAGGCAGCTTCAGGATCAGCCTTTCACTAAGTAAATACAGAGAGGAGAAGTGATTTGAGGAGGGAGCATTACAACTTCCAATTTGAAGATCAAATACAGTGACATTAGGCAGGAATACCATGATAGGTCATGTACAGTAACTAGGCTCAACCCTGGAAAAATAGATGTCCTCTTACTTAACACTCGGATAACTCACAGTTACTAAACACCCATTACACACCATATGTAAGCAAATGTAATTCTATACGTATATCAAACCGTCATTTTATAAATTGATGATTCAATGTTAACATCTTCAGAAACAAGAGGCTTGAGGCTCACAGAGCCCAATCCAAGCTCACACAACCAGAAACTGGTGGCAAATATTTCACAACTAAGATTTATTCCTAAATATAGTTGATTGCAAAACTGTAGTTTCTGTTTCTCTTTTGGTACACTGATTTATTTTTTATTTTTATTTTTGATTTTCACAAAATTGATTTACTTTTCTCACTTCAAACGTTAACTTTGTCAAGCCAACTCTTTAAGAATAATATTAAGCCCTATTGTTTAATTCACATGTTGCTAAATATAAAAGTGTGAAGATACCAATAACATCGATTTGTATTTGTATATGTTGTAAATAGTGCTTGAAATCTCTAAAACCCTCTAGAATTTCTGGGTGTTTTGCAAACACTTCACAGAAATCTGGGAAATTTGCCTTGTGACTAACTAATATGTATGGATACTTTCATCAAATTACGCTGCTGGTTGAAAGAGATTATCTTGAGAGCTTTGCTTTTTACTTTTTATTTTTAATTTATTTTAATTTAAATTAGAAGACAGACTCTGAATTCACCAAAATTAAGCCTTATAACTAAGACAAGAACCATAGTCAAACAAAAGGTTTTGCAAAACTGTCTAAATTGTTTTGTTTCACTTTTCAGAAAAAGTCAATGCCTGAAACATCAAGTACTGGCTTAAAGGTGGTACATCAAGAAAATAGAGAATATGTATATATATTCACACATATATATATGTGTGTGTGTGTGTGTATGCATGTGTGTGTGTGTGTGTGTGTGTGTATATTTGGAGACAGGGTCTTACTCTGTCACCCAGGCTGGAGTGTAGTGGGCACTATCATAGCTGACTGTAGTTTTGATGTGCTGGGCTCAAGTGATCCTTCCACTTCAGCCTTCAAAGTAGCTGGGACTACAGGCATGCACCACCACATCCGGCTAATTCTTTTGAAATGTTTAAAACTCTTTTTTTTGAGATGGGTTCTCACTTTGTTGCCTGGGCTGGTCTCCAACTCCTAGGACCAGGTGATCCTCCCGCCATGACCTCAGGTTTACAGGCTTGAGCCACCACACCTGGCCAATGAAGTAGAGAATCTCTTGAATGCTTACTTTTACTGGGTCTTCTGTGAATCCTAAAATTTTAGATAATATATAGTTTGTAGTGCTCTTTAAAACTGATTTACCAAACAATACATAGCACATACTGTGCATGGGAGAATCCATCCACCAGTACTGAAGAGATTTATTACATTTCACAAGGTTCGCTTCAGAAAAATAATTCTAAAAGGATACCTTTGCAATGTACAGTAGCAATTTTTCACGCCCTAAAAATCCAATTTGGAGAGTTTCTGATCTGGCACTGAATGGAATGCTCATGAATGAGGCCACCAAACAGCCACTTAGTGATGCATCATGATTTATGCACAAGCTAGAGTCCTCGCTTCACTAAATAACCAGGCATGAAGGTGTGTCAGAGACAAACCCAGCAACAATGTTCAGAATCTTAGCAGCTCCAAAACCTCTTCCTGACTGGTGTGTAGACATGCTGAATCTTTACAAATATTAAAATTCCAACGCTGGGCAGCAGTGTGAGCCAATGCTTGGTAAAGTGGGTAAACTTGTTTGGAACAAAGGAACCTCTGTAATTAAGTCCACTCAGACCAGGTCCTGTCAGCAGTCCTTTTGAAAGATATGCCAGAAGAACCATGTACTGTCCATGTTGTATCAATGAATAACCACAATGTTGAGCCCTTTCCTTCATAAGCACAATTCCCACACTGTCAGTGAGGCTCTTCTGCCCTAATTCAATGTCCCCACATCCTCAGCTATTCATCACACAGCTGATGTGAAGCCCCTTCTCTACCCTGTCATCTCCTGTGAATATTCTATATTTTATTAATATTCAACTCGCAGTTTTTCTCTTATTAAAATTATGTTGCCTCTCCCCAAACAGACAGTCATATAGTCCTTTATTATAGACGCTTTTGAAAAGGCCTGTGCACTCTGATGGTCTGTGATTTCCTGTAACTTTCTCGAATCTGCCTTAACATGAAGGACTTGCATTTGTTACCTGGAAGTTTACAGGTAACCTCTCACACAGAGGTCAATTCAAGCAATGGATTATACAGTTTGGTCCTCAGTTCCCCAATTTCATCCTTGACTGACTTCCAAATTCTCTGGGAGATGCTCTCTCTGATCTTCATGATTTATACACATTTATTCTACCAGTTTGGCCTAGAACATCCTGAGTATTGATCACTGTTTGATATAGTATTTTAAGTCTACCGATTTCAGAAAACAATTTGAGAGTGAGAATCTCATCACCATCAACATATATCTTTTAAGCTCTCATTATACGCCAAGCACTGTGCAAGGTGCTAGGCTTACAAAGGGGCCTAAGCTATGGTTTTTCCCATCTCTGGGTGTGCAGAACCATTAGGGAGACAAATCAATGGCATGCAAGACAGTATATGTGTATATCGTACCAAGGCAGCAGTTCACATGCACGAAGCTTTTCAGAG